TCAGCAGAACAGAAAATGTGATGTATTTTATGCATGTCAATAAAGGAATGATCTGTTCTTGTTCTACAGAGAATGGAAATTGGAACTCAAACACCCTTTGTATTCCAAAGTAGGGTCTCAAAACATTTTGTAATTTTCATTTAAATTGTTAGGAGGCTTGGAGCTATTAGTTAATCTATCTTCCAATACACTGTTTAATATAGCACTGAGCAAATGATGCAAGTTGTCAATGGATGAGTGATCCACTAATAATAGCTCTGCTAGTAATTGATTTGTTTTTCTTCAATAAAGTTGCATAAACCAATGGAAAAAAAAAAGAAGCAGAGAGGGAGGGCTGGGGAGGTAGCTCAGAGAAACTGGGTATTGTGGCATACATTCAGCCCTGGGGAGGCTGAGACAGGAGGATCACTAGAGTCTGAGCTGCATAGTGAGATCCCGTGGTAACTAATTAAATAAATAAATGATTAAAAAAAATCAGAGGAAGACTGGGAGTCCACGATTCTCCTCTAGGACATGACCCCAGCAACCTAACACCTGACACTAAGCCTCACCTCTTCAACTTTGCACCACCTCCAGGGCCAACATAAGCCTTTTGAAGACTCATTTATCCAACCCCTAGCCATGGGACATTGAGTGGAATACTTTGCTCTTGTCTCAGTAGTGGAGAATAACTAATCACTGCTTGAATCTCATATAAGGAGATCTGAAAGAATCAGACTATTCCCAAACAGTTTAGCTCAAACATCAAGAGAATTAGTTTTTTGAAAAACTAAATGGACCAGGGATATAGCTCAGTGGCACAAAGCCTGCCAGACAAGCACAAAATCTTGAGTTTAATTCCCTCTGCTAACAAAACAGCCCTCCCCGGCCCCACGCAAATACCTAGCAGCTAACAATAACAAATCCACACTATCCAGCATCTAATCATAGAATCAGGAAAACAAGAACCATAGATAGAAGAAAAGCCAATGAATCAAACCAAGAATTGGTACAGACATTAGAATTAAGAGACAAGAAAATTGAGTTATTGTAACTGTATCCTACATGATCAAAAAGTTAAGCATCATGAAAAAGAGCAACACTGAACTTCTAGACATGAAAGCTACAATGTCTGAGACGCAAAATAAGCTAGATGGGCTAAGAGCCCATTTTACAGCACTGAAGAAGAGAGTGGGGGATGTGGAAATGCCGCAACAGAAACCAGCATGAAACAGAAGGTAAAAACAACAAAAAGCTCTGAACAAAAACATTTGTTGGGGCTGGGGAGATGGCTCAGTGGAATAAGTGCTTCTCTGGCAAGCGCAAGGGCCTGAGTTCAATCCCTGGTTCCACAAAAAAAATTAAAAAAATAAAAAATCCACCAATGGTGTGGCTGTTGAAGACCTGGGTTGCCAGAACCCCACTCTCCTGTAGCCTCAGGAGCCACGACATAAAATGCTCCTGAATACCCTTCTGAGAGAGTAA